TTTTTTTTGGGGGGGGGAACTGAACATTACATATCTCCTGATAGTTGAGAAAAAGCCATCTAATAATAAATAATGGCAAGTTTTTTTTGTAGTTCTAGTTTTATTGCAGTTTTATTGTAGTTCAAAGCCCTTGTAAGTTCAAAGTCTAATTTATGTGTTGCTTATAGAAATGGATTAAGAGTTCATTTTTCAACCTACACTCACTGTACACTGGAAAGCTTCTTCTTCGCTGCTGCAACCTATTAGGTCTCATAATTAGCGAGTGGGGTGATCCTTATGGTTTCACAGAAACTGGGTCAAATCAAATGAACAAAGAATGGATGTATGGAACGCTGCTTTTTTTCCAGAGTTTCTTGTAGCAGCATCTGGAAGTATCCATGCATATACAATCAAACTAGTCATTTCTGGAAGAAAGGCACTAGTCTACATCAGAGGTGTTGAACTCAAGGCTCGGGGGCTGGATATGGCCTACGGGGTGCTTCGATCTGGCCTGCAGGGCTACCCTAGAAACAGCAAACTACCAGTCCGCGGTGACTCTGCTAGCAAAAATGGTGCTTGGGAAGATCCATGAGCCAAGGTGGCGCAGTGGTTAAATGCAGCACTGCAGGCTACTGCTAGATCAGCAGGTCAGCGGTTCAAATCTCACCGGCTCAGGGTTGACTCAGCCTTCCATCCTTCCGAGGTGGGTAAAATGAGGACCCAGATTGTTGGGGGCAATATGCTGACTCTCTGTAAACCGCTTAGAGAGGCCTGAAAGGCCTATGAAGCGGTATATAAGTCTACTGCTATTGCTATCACGTGTGGCCCTCCCAGGCTCCATTTTCAGCTGTGATGGCCTCCTGCCACCCTCTGCAAGTGAAAATGGAGCTTGGGGGAGCAACATGAGGCACCCCCTGAGTTCCGTTTGCACTGGCAGAGGGCAGCAGGAGGCTGTCGCAGCTGAAAGTGGAGCTCTGGATCCCGTTTTTATTGGCAAAGCGCTTGGGCCACCATAGACGTCCCCGACATGAGTGATGTCAAGCTGACCGCGCCCACCCTGGCCCCAGAAGTCAAACACAATCCTGATGTGGCCCTTAATGAAATCGAGTTTGACTCCCCTGGTCTACATTGTATGAGGAGGACTGAATCTAAAACATCTCTTGTGTTCCACCTTTGTGTCATGTTCACACAGAACTGAATGATTCTTTCAGCTGGAAATTTAAGTACTCCAATATCTTAAACTGTCTGGACTATAAAAGAATGTGTTTCCGATGTTCTTGTTATTCTTCCTCCCCATCATTATGATCCGATTCATGTAACCATGGTTTGATGAATAAATTGCAGACATCTGAATTTGCACGTATGCTAGACCACATTATGGCTCAGCACCATACCTGCAACCCAGTGGGTTTTGTTTGCCAGACCCTTTTCAAGATCTCTGCAGATTTTCTTAAAAGGCAGCGATCTAAATTGCTTCTGGGTGGAGCAGTTCCATCTGCCGTTTCTTCTATTTCTTCTATTGTTTCAGCTACATTCTTCCTCCCTGGTTGTGAGAGCAGGGTTCACGCATGGAGTCACCCCAGACATGGGGCCAAGGTGTTCCAAGACTGAATCAAACTCTCAAGTCAGCATTGCTTAGTGTGCATCTTCAACTTCTTTAAAATGATCTCTGCAACTGAATGAAATCTAATCTTGATAGTTCACGCATGCGTTTTATTGATTTACAGAATTTATATGGCTGCCTATTGAACACATATAGGCACGTGGTGGCTCAGTGGCTAAGATGCTGAGCTTGTCAATCAGAAGGTCGGCAGTTCAGCGGTTCAAATCCCTAGTGCTGCGTAACGGAGTGAGCTCCTGTTATTTGTCCCAGCTTCTGCCAACCCAACAGTTCATCAAAAGCACGTAAAAAATGCAAGTAGAAAAATAGGAACCACCTTTTGTGGGAAGATAATAGCATTCTGTGTACCTTCGGCGTTTGGTCATGCCAGCCACATGACCACGGAGACGTCTTTGGACAGCGCTGGCTCTTCGGCTTTGAAACGGAGATGAGCACTGCCCCCTAGAGTCAGGAACGACTAGCACATATGTGGGGAACCTTTACCTTATTGAACATAGCCATGGCTGGCTAACAAAAATCCAGAAAAGTATATTATAAAGCCTCTGATCACAAAATAGAAACAATATTAAAGTACCATAACACCATAGCCAGGGCACCATTACAGACTCATAACACAACTACACTTAGAGTGTCTCAATATCCCATCCAAGCACCTGAAACCTCACATGTCAGTCATTGCAGCCTTTCAGAAGGCCAAGAGAGTTGTGGCCCTCTGGATCTCAGAGGTCAGGCTGCTCCATGCCAAGCGTCACAACAGTGAAGGCACATCTCCTAGGTCCCACCAGATAATATTGAGCAGAGGGGACCTGGAACACCCAAACTCTGTTGTGCCTGGTGGGATGGACAGAAATCCTCAAGAGAGAGGCACTCCCGCACGTTATCTACCCCGTTTCTTCACCATGGGCTCCCTTTAAATACCTTTTGTGGCCATAGGCCATAGCCACGGACCCCCCCAAGACTTAACTGAAGATTTAAATCAACTTCACCCTTATTTAAAACCATAACATTTCTTCAAACCTTCGTGGATTCCCTGTGATGACTTCATGCCCCCCGTAGGGGTCCATGGACCACAGGTTGAGGATCACTGATGTAAGGCTTTAAAGGTGGTAATTAGAACCTCAAATTGCACCCAGAAGCACACGGAGAGCCATTTCAGCTGACACAATAGTGGTGTAGCACAAGAGAACCTTGGTATACCCAGAAGAGAGCATGCCACTGCATTCTGAACCAGTGGAAACTTTTTTTTCCCAAGGACTCATTGAGCATATAGTAGCAGCAGTCCAAGTGGGAAGTGACCAAGGCGTGAGTGACAGTGAGCAGAACCTCCCAGTCCACGCATGGGTGCAGTTGCCACACAAGATGGATTTGTGCAAAAGCCCTTCTAGCCACAGTTGCCACGTGCTTTTTGGTAGGAGCCATCAGTCCAGGAAAACTCCCGTGATGCACACTACATTTATTAGGAAATGTGCTACCCTGGGAAGCCACTCTTGTTTTGCTCAGATTGACCTGTCATTCTCCATCTAGACACTGATAGGCTCCAGACTCCGTTGATGGAATGATGGCATGATTAAAGTAAGATAATCTACAGTACCCTTCTGATGATTTAGGCTATGAGAAATGTGTGTAAACATATGCAAAAGGCATTTAATGCTACTTTTATGAATGGTGTAGTGGCCTAGAGGTGGAGCTCTCAACTCACAATCAGGAGGCTGTGAGTTTGATCCTAGATAGAGGCAGATATTTCTCTCTCTGGGCACACTGAGAATATATCTGCTGAACAAAACTCTGCATTGGTGACAAGAAGGGCATCTGGCCAGTGAACACTCTGCCACTTCCATTCAGTTGCCTACACTCCACCTGGCAAGGGATTATGGGGTCGTTAAAAGAAGATGATTTAATGCTACCTTTATGAAATATGCTGTGTTTCTCCATGGAACAGAAAAAAGGTTGATCTTCACTGGCCAAATAGGCAGAAATTAAAAGATTAAAGGCCCTTTTTATGCTTGACTTATTGATGTTTAAATGCATCAAGTAACAACTAGGGAAACAAGTCACAGAGTTTTGAATTGCACGTAATTTTGATCTGCATCTAAGAGTTGAAGATGTTTAGCACTTCCACATCAAAAGCCCTGCATTTCTGGGTCTTGTATAGCAATAGCAATAGCAGTAGACTTATATACCGCTTCATAGGCCTTTCAGGCCTCTCTAAGCGGTTTACAGAGAGTCAGCATATTGCCCC